AGAGTGAACAGTCCTGATAAATCATCTCATGTATCGATAAACACAGTTACAGAACTCATCACATTTCCTTTGGACAAAGGGGGGTGTTGTTGAAGCTTTATTTCTTGATGTCAACAAGGCATTTGACACTGTTAATCATAGAGTTCTTTTGTTCAAGTTACCCAGTTACAATTTCTCTGCAGGTAAACTTAAATGGATTGAATTGTATTTGCTAAAAAGATCCCAGCATGTCCAAGTACAGAACTGTCAATCAGCTGCCTTCCATTTGTCCACAGGTGTCCCACAAGGATCAATACTAGGCCCACTGCTATTTTCTTTATTTATTAATGAGTTTTCATCAGCATGTCCTGACACCAACATCCACATGTATGCAGATGACACTGTCATTTATTTACATGGTAGCAAAATGATAGAAGTTGCAAATGAACTCACTAACTCCATGATTCAAGTAACAACATGGTTAAAGCAATGCTGTTTACAACTAAATGTCTCCAAAACAGTGTGTATGTGAAAAAAGTCTGTAACCGGGTCAAATTTAATCTTTTAAATTTTAGATTACATGTCAACAGAGGCAGCTAAGACATACATGCTTTCTATGGTTGTTTCCCATATGACCTACTGTTTAACAACCTGGTCACAGGCTAGCACCACTACTCTGAAACCACTACAGTTATTGTATAAACGAACACTCAAAATACTTGATAAAAAATCTCTTCTTTCTCATCATCACCCAATATTAAAAATATATAACTTGTTCAGTTTGGAAAACATAATTAAATATGTGAATGTCTGTCTCATGTATAAGATTATACATGGCTTGACCTCTCCTCCGCTCAAACAGTTGTTATCACAAGAACAAGGTGCAGCAAGACGGGATTCCATTATTCCACTCAGGAAAAGTGCTTTCAGTCAGTCTGCATTTTCTGTAAAAGCTGCACTACAATGGAACTCCATCCCAGTGACCATTAGAGACCTACAGACATACAGTTCATTTAAAGCTCATTTAAAGAAATGGTTAGTTAGTACCCAGCTCTGTCAGCACTAGAATGTAACTGCTCCTTACTGTCCTCAATCTGTCCATGCTGTACTTCCCTCGATCTGTCCATCGTTACCTGTCTGTCTGCTGTCTCCTGTCTGTCTGTTGTCACCTGTCTGTCTGTCTTGAAATTGCCAGTCGACCCTCATCTACCTGCATGCATGTCTCTTATTGTTGTTTAGCTGTGTCAGACTGATTTATATAGTTTATTTACTGCTGAGTGCTTCTGACATATATGTTTTCAGTGTCTAACAATGCAACATAATCTTATCTCGAGTCCATGTTTCTATTTAACATAATTCTCCCTTATTTATTGGCTTCGCATCTGCTGTTTCCTTTGCCTCTGTGTTGCATGTCTTGTTAGCACTTGACAATGTAGTATAAGAGTGTCCTGAATAATGTGTCGACCAATATTATTATTATCTCGGCTTTCATTGTTTCTGCATCCTTTGTAATGGGAAAATAATGCATAACTTTGTCATTTTATTCTTAGTTCTTATATTGTGTTTTTAGGCTGACTTTGTAACATCTGCCCTGGGACTACAGATGGACCAATAGCTTCTTGGCTAACTCATTTACAGGAATGTTTTATTAATGTGCACTGTCCCTTCCAAATACATATATATACATATATTGCTAAAGCGATTTGCTTTTGTAACATTTTGTCTTTTATGATTCGAATTTCGTTCAAGTAATACTACATTTTAATTCCCATCACTTTATAAAGACTACGTCATTCAGAGATATATAGACTCCAAGTCCAAATAACAATTCAATTTCACTCAATTCAATTTATTTTGTATAGCCCGAAATTACAAATCACAAATTTGCCTCAGAGGGCTTTACAATCTGTAATTATAAATGTTGATACAGTATGTTATAGATGTTTGGTAGTGTGGGTCATTAGGGAAAGGTGTGCCGCTTTAAGCCAAGGGAGTTACTATGATGATGATGATCCTGCCTCCAAAACAAAGGGGGTACAGTGGAAACAAAAGCCTTGGGTTCTCGCATTGTTCTTGGGATGCGTTTATTTCCATAATTTATCATCATAAACTCAGCCATATTGTGGTTCAGATAGAGTCCGAGGTACTAAGTTTATTTCCTTACTTTGGTTAGGTAAGGTAAGGGATTCCTCAAGTATAAGACCAAGATAAGGAGAAATACCCAAGTGAACATGTTTCAGTGTGTTTTGTGCAACCAATTTCATTTTAAGGAAATCTTAACTCAAACTTTTAGGGAAACCTTAACTGAAGGTGTTAGTGCAAGCAGCTCCTGGTCTTTACTATTGTTTAAACATGGTGCTACAGAGCAGCTTTGGAACTGGATTAAGGGTTCGTTCACGTCACGTCAATGTAGACGGATGGGAGGCGCACTCAAAAGCAGGAGTGGCGGCTGCGCTCTGAGATAAAAATAGTTTTACTTTTGGAATGCTGCAGTGCGCACCGCATGTCATGTGACAAGGAACAACCAATCACATCCATCCTTTTCTCCCGTAAATAATAGCCTACTGTAAAAAATATGAAGAAGTTAATCATTTAAGTGCAGAACTACGGAGAGCTTCACAATCTGTCCCAAATGAATATTCTACCTGCTTCACCCATTCTGTCCAATGATGTCATAGCATCTGGTTGACAAGTCAAACTGAAGATGACAAAAAATGTACAGTGCTGGAAATCCATTTATTCATTTGAGT